GAGGCAGTGTCAATAGGACTAAAGTGTCCTCTGTCTCACTCCCCAGCATAAACCCCAGCTTCCCACCAGATCAGAAAACTTTCTGTTGCTGCAGTTACACAGGTCAAACTCGGTCAGGTCAGGCTGCTACTGGCCACCAGCCCACTGTGAAAGGTGGTAGCCACTACAGCCACCGACAGAAGGTCTGTCACCTGAGCTTCTGCACACTTTCCTCCCGGGAAAGCAGCCTGAGCAATTTCTGTTTACCCCAGCTTCAATGCACATGACATAAGACCTATAACAACCTTCTCATCTATCTCTCTGACAGAAAGCAAATAGGTGAATTTTTCAAAATATTAAACAGTTTCTTAAATTGGCATCAAATAGTGCACGTTGTTTTTGAACTGTCATGTCAAATCTAAAGTCTAAGGATTTCCTTTAATCAAATCATGTGAAGTCTTTAGTTTTTTAAACAGGATAGAGTAAATATGTCAGTGCGAAGGCTTTCATCAGAGCGCCAAAATGCAAATCTGGTTTGTAAAGTCAGTGAGGCGCAGCAACCTTGCTTTCTGCACCTCATGAATTATTGGGCGTGTCCACTGTCTGCTGTTTTGTCTCTTGTATCTTGGATCAACACTGATATGATTTACTGTCAAACAGCCTCCTGTCTGTGCGAAGGTAGAAGACAGCAGCAGCAGCAGCACTTCAGGTATCCCCCCTAAACAACCACAGATGTTCTCGGAGGCGAGGGATTTCACTGCAGAGTCAGAAAGGAAATATTACGACCACAAATGTGTTCTCGTGGCGTAAAAAAATCCGACTCCAGGCCCTTCTGTGGGTTTGGAAGCTGAGAAGCCTCAATTTGGAGAAGGAAAGGACATGAAAAAAACACCCACACGTCTGGGCAGTGTGCTTTCATCCACAATTCACATAAGTGCCTGGACGTGGGTTTTTAATGCCACGAGAACTCATTAGTGGTCATGATATTTCCCTTCATACCCTTCAGCCTTTGTTAAAGACTCATCACTGGGTGCTTCCATCTCGAATCACAGACAGGTTTCTGGCCCAAATTTCCTCCATTAATCACACCGCTGGCTGCTCTGTGTTTGGTGAAAACTGTCACGTGTATGATGTTGAGTGTTGAGTGCTTTAGAGGTTTCTGATTTCTGGCAGCTGATTGCCTTTCATCAGAAACAGGACACGAGGCAGATTCAGGCAGAAACATTACAGCATACCTTCACATTTTCCCGACATCTTACTTTGTACTGAAGTCACCTTCGAGGTTTTAAACTCTTTAATAAGCATCAAGGGAACTGGTAATGCTGTAATCATTAGAACTTTCCTAAGAGAGAGATGTCTTTTAAATAACTATGTACTTCATACACAGAGGTCAGAGGTCAGTTACAGGTGCTGGTCAGAGTTCAGTTTCTTTGCCCAAGTTGCTGCAGCGATGACCTGGAAACTTACCAGAGCGGTCTCAACCACCAGATTTTTCTACACATATCAATCCTGTCTTATGTCTTTCTTTCTCTCTCTCTCTCTGATTAACCAGGATGAGGGTGCTGTCGTGGGAACAGTGCGGGGAGACGGGCGTGGTCCTGCTGGGCTTCCTGACGCTGGCGGTGTCTGTGGGGAACCTTTCCACCAGGGGGCTGCAGGTACGTAACACACAGATACACACAGGAAAACACACAATATGTACGTCAAAGTGTCAGATATTCAAACGTTTTAAATGTCGCTGCCCTCATACCTTATAACCCTAACCCTAACCCGTTATATACATCTCGTCAAGCGGACAGAGAATTCTTTTCACTATTTTCACAATATATCACTATTTATTATTATAAATTACCAATTAGTTCTGTTCCATCATGATTAAAATTTCTTCGTTGTCTCATATCTGACTTAAGATAAGCTTCACTCCCTCGAGGATCTCTAGCGGTACTGCCCCGTTTCGTCTTTATCTGTATGCCTTCAGAAAAATGTGGAAGAAATGAACGCAGATTACAGACAGAAGGCTCCGTCTCTGTGTGTAACGCTGAACGTGAATGAGCGTTTCTAAGAGCAGCTGCTTCTGCTACAGTGCAGGGCTGTGATGACAGGCAGGTGCTTTGTGTACATCACTGGCAGAAGTGCAAGCTAGCTTGTAGCTACATAATGTAGCAAGACAATGGGAATCACCAAAATTACCAAAGATCTCTACATGTTTATTGGGACATTAACCAGTTGACCGGTCATCTGAAATTTGGTGGAAATGTTACTCCAGGCCGAGTTATCCTCTGGTTGTCCTAATTGACCGCCCCCTTCTATTTGATTGGCCAAAGCCAGGCAGCAACCACCAGAAGGTCGACAAGGTCAACTCTACCTGGACAGGTCACCAGACTATCACAGGGCTGACACATAGAGACAGACAACCATTCACACTCACATTCACACCTACGGACAATTTAGAGTCACCAATTAACCTGCATGTCTTTGGACTGTGGGAGGAAGCTGGAGCACCTGGAGGAAACCCACGCTGACACGGGGAGAACATGCAAACTCTGCACAGACGGGCCCCAGCTGGCTGGCGGGTTTGAACCAGAACTCACGCTGTAAGGCAACTGTGCTGACCGCTGCACCGCTGTGCTACCTAACTGCAGGATTTTGCAATGCAAAGTCTGAATACTAACTTTAAGAAGTAATCTGCAGACTGTGATGAGTTGCTGTCAGTCGACCAATCAGCGACTCGTCTTCTCTCTTTCCTGTCTCTCTCTCTGTACCCATCTATCGCTTCCTGTCTCTGTCTCACTTACGCGCTCTGTCTGGTATTTCCAGTGTCTCTTGTCCTCTCTCACAGCTGCTCTGTCTCACACCTTTGCAAGGAGCTCAGTGCACATTCCAGCGGTCACTCTGATGAATCTGTCTGAATGAAGGGACGCAGCCATCGGCCTGAATTAATGCTGCTCCTGCACATGAGGAATGTGTGAAATGCTGACCGTCTTCACACGTTGGAGCCCCAGAACAAAACATTTAGACGCACGTTTGCTGTGATGCTATTTGATTTTGACGCGCTCTGTTCTGACCGTCCAATCATCTGTGCAGCAGTTTTACACACTGGAATTAGAGTTCTACTAAAAATATTACAAGCACTGCCACTGCTGTTAATGTCACTGACAATACCACAACTTATACTACAAATACGACCACAAAGGAGAGTACAAATTCAACTTTTACTTAATAACAGATGTCTTACTCAGTAGAATTACCACAGTGTAAAACTACTCGTTACTACTAATTACTAGAAATAAATGAAATGGAGTATAAAGTAGCTTTAAACTAAAGTACAAGTTCTTAAGCATTGTATTTAAGTACAGAACTTGAGTACACAAGCTAAGCTAGCATCCCACATAAGTCTTACCAGAAACATTAAGGTTTTGTGGTGAGATAAGGAGGTATCCTGTCGGTAACTCCTCATCTAAACCTCTTGAATCAGTCATTCCTTTGAGGCGTTTTCAACATGAGCGACAGAATAAAAATAGAAACTGGATGTTCGACAAAAGTTCAGCTCAAAACAGCACGCTGCATCCCGTGGCATCTCGTCGCTCATGGGCAGTTGGGACAGTCCAGTAGAAAACAATGCAGTCAAAATGATTTAGTCGCTGATGCTCGCATGGCATCCAGTTAGGAAGCACCTAAACAACCTAAATTCCAAAAAACACCACACCCTGTGTGGAACATTATGAAGCACAAAATACGACAACGGAGACCGCAGACTGTTGAACAATATGAGATATCAAGCGAGAAAGGCACTCGAAACAGGCTGTTGTTGTGTTGCCCCGATGTCAATCAGTGATTCTCGGGAATACCAAATCACCTCCGATGTAACGAGGTGGAATTCCCGAAATACAATCGCGAATAACAACATGATCCTGTCCTAACTTTTTTTGGAACGTGTTGCAGGGATCAAATTCAAAATGAGTGTATATTGATTTACAGTATCTCACATAAGTGAGTAAACTGCATTGCAGCTCAGTTTCTGAAGAGGGGCGATCATGCTCTGCTTGGAATTCATGTTTCCCATGTTTCCCAAGTATAGTGGTGGCAGCATCATGGTTTGGGGCTGCATGAGTGCTGCCGGCTTTAGGGAGCTCGGTTCATTTAGCGAAACATGAATTCAGAGCAGAGCATTATCGCCCCTCTTCAGAAACTGAGCTGCAATGCAGTTTTCCAACATGATAATAACCCAAAACACACCTAGTAGATGACAACTGCCTTGCTGAGGAAGCTGAAGGTGAAGGTGATGGACTGGCCAAGTATGTATCCAGCCCTAAACTCACCTGTGCACCTGTGGG